CCGCACTTCCCAAGCGGCGCACTGTAGCAGTGCGCCACCGGGCCGGCCCTAAAACACATTTTCTTATCTCAACATGAAAAGTAAGTTTTTAGAAAGGAACATATATGGACAGGAGGAGAAATCAGCTAACAAAGAAAAATATTTTAAAAATTAACTCTTAGCTCTCCACTAGAGGAAAAATAAAATATGCGAAAGAAACCAAACAAAACCCCAGAAAAATGGTTAAAGCAGCAAAAACAACTACGACTTCTTAAGTTTTCTTTGGGTGCTGTGCTACAGCCTCGTGGCCTTGCTTGCGGGCGCTTCGTCTCCCCTCGCCTCCGGCAGTCAAGGCAGGGATTCAAGGGCCTCCTGGGCCCTGTTGCCTGGCCCGGTGGCTGGCGGCCTGGGCTCGTGGGCAGCCCTCAGAGCCTGACCAGCCGGGGTGTCTGCCTTCCCAGGGAGGCAGCTCTGTGGGAGCGGCGTGCACTTTTGTAAGAACAGGGATATTGAGCAATGCACCCTAAAAAACAATTAAAAACTATGAGGTCCGTGGCCCCTCGGGGTCTGTCTTCCAGAAATGTCAGTGGACTCTGTCATGTTTTCTCATTAGATTTCGTAATCTGCGGGGATTTCTCACAGGGGTTGTCTTGCTGTGGTGCAGACGGAGAAGTGGGTTCAGAGTTGGTGCCCAGGAGTCTGGGAGGGCTGGGGGCTCTGAGGTCGGCTGAGCTCACACAGCCCCCACCTGCAGACACCTTCTCTTTGTCTACTTCAGCTGGAACTTCCTGTGTTCCTTCTTTCTTTCCCTTTCCAGCTGGAGACCTGAGGGAACTGTGATTGACCTGGTGGCCTTCTCCCTGTCCCTTCTCCCCAGGGCCTGCGCCCCCGTGTTTCTTGCCCCCTCCCCTGCTGCCTCCAGTCCTGTGGCTCCCGGTGAACCTGCAGATGCAGCTGTTCCTCACAGCCCTGCCGCTTTCACCTGTAGGCTAGGTGGCACAGACTGAACCCACCCGATCTGAACGTTTACAGCGTTTGATAGAGAAAAAACAAGAAAGGGAGGTAGGCACCTAGGACTGAGAGACCGAAGAGGACGTTTCCAAAGGGTAGTTACTTCTTGTCCTCACCATTTAAAAGAGTTGCATATTTTAAGGCAGGAAATAAAAATGCACCTAATTTAAAAATGATTACACTGCAATTCAAAATAAACAATCGAAGACTTTTAGAAGCCTTCTGGCAGCCTATTCCAAGTCACTAAAAGTAATGTTACCTTTATTATCTGGCAGATCTCTTTATTTCTAACTTAAATGTTCATGCTATATAATGTAAGTTCATTTTCTCTGGTCCTTTTTCAGTGGCAAAATACAGTAACTGGGCTTTTTGTTTGCTTCCAGGGCATGTTTTACTTTTTCTTTAAGTCATCTTCCTTTCGAAAAATTCGTCCCATTGACTTCTCTGCAACTTTTCATTGATCTTTGCGGGTCTTCTCTGAACCTTCTCCATGTCCTTTGTACCTGTGGACCTCAGGCCTGAGCAGCACTTGAGAGCACAGCACATGAGAAACAGAGTGCAGGTCCTCCCATCAAGCGTCACAGTGGATAATCTTCAGTCTCCGGTTCATGGTTTACAGTACTCTCCTCCCAGTCAAACAGCTTCGAAGTCAGTTGATTTATAAAAGCATATATCAGGATCATGTGTGTAGAGATTCGGAGCTTCCATTATGTTTATAGGACATTCTAGGGGTGTTGTTTGGTTTAATTTATTGTGGCATTGGCAAGATGTGACCTCTCAGTGCCTCCTGGTTCAAGGAGGTAATTACAATACAGATAATGAGCTGGAAGCACCCGATTGGCTTGGGCTGTTCTCCTCAGGCACCCCAGCTTGCAGTGCCAGAAAGTCAAGCAGGCTGGGGTGGGCCTGTGACATGGCCAAGTGATTACAGAGGTAACTGAAGAACCTGCTTCCTAATTGCATCATCTGATTCCTTTATCGCAGCGCAGTATCTTGGTGCGGTGACAGGGTTGTGCAGAAGCATCGGGTCTCTAAGACTCAGGCGGCCTGAGACTGCTGAGCTTTGCTGCGGGAGAAACCTGATGCCTATTACATTAGGGCTGGGTTCTGAGAGTAATTAAAGTGTGATGGTCTGCGTAACTTGTGTTTTGTAAGGAGCACTGTTAATTATATCTTCATCTCTTGGGAGTATCCAGAATGAATCCTGGAAATAATATAGTTACCAAAATGTAGCAAAAATAAAAGGTGAAAGTGTGGTACAGGTTGCATAAAGTGAAATGACCTCCCAAATGTTCTTTGGCCTCTCAAGAACTTGGAGGCCTGGTATTTTCCATTAAAACTATGAATAATGAGGGACTAGTCTATTATCACTTGAATTGTAAATGCTTATATATGCATTTGACTTCTAAAATAAAAATAGGTTTTCAAAATGCGTTTGCCTTTAAGCCTCACCGTTTGGCTTCCATGGGCTGGACTGCCACAGTTGGTGGCTCCAAAATAAATCAAGGTATTATCCCTAGTTTGTCGTTTACTATGCAGACTGGAACTTTTCAGAACCAGATGGTCCTGTGTTTCCCTTGACAGCTCAGGCGCTGGAAGACCATAATCCATAGCTTCAGACCTGACCTTAAAAACTGATGTCACAGAAAGCAGTGAAAGCCATTTACTAATCATGCAGCTTTCTTGGCATCGATCAGTTTCCCAAGGCTGGCCCCGCATCAGAAGGATGTGCTGTTTTCCCGTTACAGTTCTGTTTGTTGGAGCCCAGAGCACCATTGTTGGGGCTCCGCATCAGGGTGGTGCTGTGCTTGTCCGCCTGCTGGTTCCCACCCCTCCGACTTGCTCCCTGGTCCGTTCACCCCGCCTGCCCGCCGCTGCTGTAGCTGCGACCACGGGAGCTGCTGCCTCTGCTTCCCAGGCAGATTTGCCACTGAAAGAGGAGAGAGAGGGGGGCAGTGTCAGGGGGAGGCCTCAGGGAGGCAGGGTTGGTTTTGTTTTTGATTCTAAATCAGAAAACACTCTTCCTTTTCTCTCCTACTGTAAAGTCTCCATAGCTGAATTAAAAGTATTTCTTTTTCTGATAAGAGCTCAAGAATAAAAGCATCTAGATACCTCAGTGTCTGCCTTGATAGAAGACAGCATGTGCTCCTTTCTTCATTCTCCAGATGGCAATCACAGCCACTCCAAAAATCCCAACACACAATTCTCCTTTAGTAGAATGTCATACTGAAGAATTCACTTCACATCCTGGGTGATGTCAGTTTTCTGTGCTTGAATAGCTTTGCACTAATGCTCGACGGTTTTCTTCTTTTTCTGCCTTTTTTTGTTTTGTTTTGGTTTTTTTTTTTTGTTTGTTTTGGTGACTGGCTGGTACATGGATCCAAACCCTTGACCTTGAGTGTATAACACCG